GATTTGAGTTTAGATTTAGTTTGGATTATTTGAATTTAAATTGAGTGAATTTAGGTCAGTCAACTTTGTCAACTCTTAAGAGCTTGGTTGGTTTAGTTTTTTTCTAATTTAAAAATTATTATGAAGTTTTTATGAAAAATAATAATTTTTAGAATTAAGTTGAAGTTGTTAGGTAAATTATTTTTATAATTTTTTTATTATAAGTTATAATTTTGGTTAAAATTATTGTAAAGGGTATTTTTTTATTTGAAAAAGTTATATTGTAATTATTTTTAATAAATAAGAATATTTTTGAAATAAAAATAATTTTTTAATATTTTTTTTAAAAAAAAGAGAAAAAAAAGTTACTCGTGGGAGCTTTTCCTAAAGCTCATTTTTTAAGAGTTTTTTACAATTTATATTTAGTCTGATTTTTATTTTTAAGAGATAAATAAGTTGAAAAAAAAATCAGATCAAACAAGCATTAACTCCTTCATTTTTTGTATGGGGAAATATGTACATTAAATATGATATTTTTTAAAAAATTTTAAATAATATAGAGTTATTTGCATATTTGATGCACGGATTATATTAACTTGATATAATATGAATTTCACTTAAATGTACATTTTGTATATTTCAAGGATAAATTATTATTTAGAAAATGCTTCTTGATTTTACATTTCTTTATTATACTATTCGATCTTCTTGATAAGATAAAATTTCATTGGTTCAATATTAGACATTAAATTGTCATGCATACGTTTTAACAATACGATTGGCGGTAGAGAAACTCCGTAGACATAGAGAGGACTATGTAGTAGCTAACTCCGGTACAAAAAAGTGTTATGAGGGTCACCTTGTTAGTTGGAATTAATGGAACAAAACCTATTGAATGTTACAACTTGCATTGGAATAATCTTTGCTGAATCCCAAAGACTTTGAATTGGTGCTGCTCTATTAAGTCATGTACGCCAAAACCTGGCAAAATAATAATAGCAATATTGACTCTTCAATGAAAACATGTGCCTATTCATGATTTTATTATTTTCTAAAATTTCAGCGATATTTTAGGAACATGATCCTAATATATATATATATATATATATATATATATAT